ATGATGGAGCAATCAGTTGGAAGAGTTGTAAACAAGATGTTACCACGGACTCTACAACTGAAGTAGAATATGTCGCAGCATCTATAATTGCCAAGGAAGTTGTATGGATGAGAAAGTTCATATTAGAACTTGGAGTTGTGACAACACTAGGGCAATAGCTCAAGCCAAGAAACCAAGGTCTTATCAGAGAACAAGCACATCGAACGTTGCTTCCATGTCATCAAAGAATTTATAACGGATAAAGAGGTTAAAATTCTCAAGGTAGCTTCTCCAGATAACACATCTCATCCGTTCACTAAAGCTATGAGTCAAGCCCAACTAGATAGGCATCTAGAAAAGATGGGCATTAGGTATAAATCTAATTGGCTATAGTACAAGTGGGAGATCGTTAGAAGTATGCCCTAGAGCCAATCATGATATATAAACTCTAGGGATATTTCACCTAATTAATGAAGGGCATTATGTTATTTTGAGTAATAATCTTTGTCATTTACTTAACTAACAAGTCCGTGGAACGTGAGAAGTAGAAAGTAACTTAAAGAAGTTAAATTTAGGAGACCCTTATGATGTGCATGGACTAGTTAAGGTTAGGATAAAAGGAAATAAGGTTAGAACACCATCAACCTCCTCCCACCTAGCAAAAATCACGGTTCTCCCACATCATATTTATTTCCTTTTATCTAACAATCAAGCCTATAGAGAGGAGTTAGAACACCATCAAGCTCCTCCCACCTAGCAAAAATCGGCCACACTAGGAAGTGAACACTAGCATCCTTCCTTCCTAGGTTGCATCATATCCTCCATCTTCCTTAGTGTGGAAAGTTTAGAGATCATCTTCATTAGTGATTTGGTGAACCTATAAGGCCTTCCATAAGGTGATCAACTCAAAGGATGTCAACCTTGAGTAGTGCTTCAAGGGTAAAGTTTCTATTTTCTCTTTCTCTTAGTCTAGAAAGTCTAGGAGTTGAACAATCTAAACCAAGCCTTAAACTACTTGGGGTTAGTTATGTTATAGATGAAAGATTAAATTTTAAAGCTTCCATTGCCTAAGGTTATGTAACCTTATCTTTGTGGCTAAACATAGCTAGGATTTAATGTTTCCTTCAAGGTGGGCAAGGTGACACTAATAGATCTGCGCCCCCATCTCACCCTCTCTCTTCATCCAACCAGAGATATTTCATTAATTACTTTCCCACATATGGTTGTATAAGGATCTTCACATTCTTAATTAGTTTAAAAGATTAATAAATTTTTTTCAGTTTATTTTTCATATTGGAGGTGGGCTCCACTTTTGCACATCACCCACCCAAATTAGTGGATAATGATCCATGTGTACAAAATTATAAAAATGCCCCTGCCATGTCATCACAGTTAATACATTTTTGTATAGAGTTGACAGCAAGGGTCAAAGTGGGTCCACAAATCTTGGTCAAGTGGGGAAAGTGGGCTATTTGAAGTTTGGGAGGGAGGGGGCAAAGTGAGCTTGAACTGTAGTTTCAGGGGCATTGCTATAAATAAGCCTTGATACTATAGTCAATTAAAAACATACTAAAATCCTCAAGCCCTCTTTGATTTTGGGTTGATCCTAATATCCTATGGTGCAAAGCAAGGATATCATTAAAAAGCAAGTGGATTAATAAAAGAAAAACTATTTGGAATTTATTAATGACTATTATATGGCCTTCAAAAAGAAAAAATGTTAGCCCCTAAATCTCCATAGCCCTAGAAATAGGCCAAGAGATTGAATTGCCCTAGCATGCAACCATTAGTGCTATAAATAGCGAGAAAGATGAGTTTATTATAATATGTGCCTCAAATAAACTGACTTCAAATCAAACAACTGTTCTCTGAGTGGGGAGCTCGCTCAAATTGGTTCTTTTTAATGCCTTAAAGACAAATAAGCACTTCAATATTTTCCCAGTACATGAACTAAAATCAAAGGAAAGTAAAAGAAAGCAACAAAAGAGTGCCATAACAACGGGGTTTAGTCGGAATCACGACTATCAACACTTGAAATCACTTTCGATTACCTAAAAGCTCGTCAAAATGCATGGAAAGCATGGTTGTTTTTTGTCCAGCAAAAACACCGATAAGATGAAACTGACAACTGGTCAAGAGGCTGTAGTATGGTGATAATGCGAACCCTCACCGTTTGCAAGAATGGATAACAACACATTTACGAACTTGTCTTCAACATTGAGGGGCTTGGATTTCTTGCAAAATGACAGAACAATTTGTGTCAATGAGGCAATGCACATATTTTTGCATACTATTAGGCATACAGTTCGCAATAGAATGATTCCTTAGAAATTTCAACATTCTAAACAAATAGTGTCTAGACAATTTAACATAGTTCTCAAAGCAATATGTCAACTTGGTACTTAGATAATTCAACCTCCAAATATAGAGGTTACACCTCATGAAATCATGGGGAATCTTAAGTAACACCTATGGTTTAAGATTACTTTACTCTTTGTCATAAATGTGATTAAGTAAACAACTTTTTGTTCTTATTATATAGTTAAGTAATAACATGTCTAGGCAAAAAAGTTCAGATGATAAAAAAAAAATTATGTGAGCATATTCGTTTGACATGTTGTTCACATAAATTTTATACGGGATGAGAAGGAACGGCTAATGACTAAAGAGTGTTGATGGATGCAATAAGTAGATAAGAGAACAACTTCTCATTGCCAAAAGAAGGTATAAAATTATTTAAACTTATCAATTTTCAATATTTTTATGAATATTTTATAGTAAATTAAAATGGCGTAAAATACTTATATGAATTGTTCTTAAATAGGAAAAATATTATCTTATTGATTATGGGTTATGCAAATATGCATGGGTTTCTCGCACCATATCATGAAGAGTGATACCACTTGCGTGCTTATAGAGTGAGAGGCAAACATCCAAGAGGGCCAATGAAATTATTCCACTATAGGCATTCATCACTATATAATGTTATTGAATGATGCTTCGGAGTGCTTAAAGGTGTCTTTACTATTATGAAGTTAATGCCAAATTATCTAATTAGGAAACAATACATATTCACGTTGCTTGTTGTACAATGCACAATATCATTAGAATGCAATTAAGAAATGACATAATAGTTCATCATCAAGCCAATGATCTTCATGTGGTGGATGAAGAAAGCTCTGGGGAGAATCAAGCAGGGGAACTCATCCATTTGCATGACAATGCTAATAAAATGAATGATGTTACAGATCACATAGCCGTATCAATGTGGCTTGATTATGTACAGAATCATTAGTCTTAGAATTTATTTAATATGTATTATTTAGGACTTGAAGATTAATTGAGCTTTGCGATCATATATTTATGGTATTAAAATATGGATGTTAAAATAGTATGTTTGATATAATTTCAAAATATTTTATCAATATCTTAATTGAAAAAAAAATTATTTTAAAAATTTTAACCAAAGAAGTTCTCAAATTTTTAAGATTTAGAAATAGTATTCAAGTTGCATATTAAAAAAGTTTTTGAATATTAAAAAATGGATTTTAGAACTCCTTGTTTAAAAGAAAATATATATCAAGTTTTTAAGTTCTCTATTTGAATAGGATACCAAAAGCCCTCTATTTTTCCTGCTAAACTTGTGAGTCTTGAACTCCCAAAGAACAAACCTCTCGTGCCAATACAAGCTTAATCTTGATTCAACCTAGCCATTAAAGTAACGATCATACATTATTCATATCCTTTGCACAAGTTCAAACTCAAGTTACATCCTTTTGGCGCCTCCTCCATTGTATTGTCAAGTAACATCTTTCCAACACCTACTGTATTTGTATGAGCACCTGCAGTGTATTGAGGTTTTGTCCCATTGTTGTTCTCTATCAAAACCCTATATAGAGATAAAATTCTCTTCCATTAATATTTCAATGAGTCATTGAAGATGACTAAAGCACTCCTTAAGGCTCACAATTCTTTTGAAATGTTCTTTGGCCTCAAATATAGGAGTGAAGCAGAGCTTAATCCATCCTTTTGATAGTCCAACAAGCCCATTACAGCTCTGTTTTCATTAGTTTCAAAAGGTTACTATTTTCAAATGTGACTTCTCTGCTTTTTTGGGCCCTGGTTCTTTATTTCCAATTCGAGTTTCATTTGCCTCATTGAAATTTAATAAGCAAACTTGATAGTCGATTTAACAGTTCAAAACGTTGTCTACATGATTCATCCGCAGTAGAGGATTTCGTGATGTTAGAGGTCATCAAGCTTCAAATAGGTTCATTATGCGCCAAAAAGTAACAAATCTCCTTTAATTCCGAGACTTAGTTGTCTTTCTAATCTCAATCATTGATCATTTGTCCATATTACGAGGACACGTTTTAATGGTCCAAGAGAGACTAGTTAGCCTATAGTGAGCTTACCACTTTACACCCAAGTTCGAGTCCCATTTATAAAAATTAGATTAATTTAAATACAAATTTATAAATAAATCCAATCCTAGACATGTATTTATAAAAAAACTCAAGCACTATTTAAACATAGAAACACACCCAAAATCAACCCCAAAATCAACAATTGTATATTTTTTGGGTGTGTTTATAAATGGGCTTTGAGTGTGTAATAATGAGTTTTGGGTATTGGGTTTTTTTTATAATTTCAGCTCCCATTTTGGGTGTTTTAGTGAAACTCCCTAATTTAAATTAGTTTAGACTATCTTAAAAAATTTCAACCAAAAAAGAAGGGCAATGATTTCCCAACTCCTATTTTATCCACTTACACTCCTTTTTTAGTTATAAAAAAGGAGTGTAAGTGGATAAAATATGAGAAAAAGGAGTGGGGAAATCACCACTAAAAAAAAAAGACTTTCTTAAAAAAACCTCTAAAAAAATACTTATCTTTTAAATTTTTTCACTCGAGTTGGAGTGTAAGTGGATAAAATAGGAGAAAAAGGAGTGGGGAAATCACCACTAAAAAAAAAAGACTTTCTTAAAAAAACCTCTAAAAAAGTACTTATCTTTTAAATTTTTTCACTCGGGTCAATAAAATCAACCCATCCCTAACATTAGATCCGAACCACCATCTCAGCTACTTGTTCAACCGCTCCAATAGTGATACTGACGAGAAATCATTCCTCTCCATTTGTAGGTCTTCCTCCTCCATTTGCTTGCTAGGACTGAGTATGACCACCAATCCATGAAGACCCAAATGAGAAATCCCACGCTTCTCCTTCTTCTCCTTCTTAGTTCTCAGCTCTGCTCAGTTTTCTCTTGGAAAAAAGACGAGTTCAGAAACTGTAACCAAACCCCATTTTGCAAACGAGCCCGAGCCCGCAAACCCAGCTCATCCTCACTCATAGCCCAAGACGTAGCCATCTTTGACGGTGAGCTCACGGCCAAGCTCTTCCCCGAAAAAACCCAAGAAAACCCAGACGAACAAGATCAAGACCGAATCAAGCCCTTGGTTCTCACTCTTTCTGTTTATCAAGATGGGATCTTAAGGCTCAAGATCGACGAGGACCCCAAACTTGATCCACCCAAGAAGCGTTTCGAGGTTCCCGATGTGATTTTGCCCGAGTTTTCGAACAAGAAGCTGTGGTTGCAGAAGCTTTCGACGGAGACGATCGGCGGTGATACCGGTCCCTCGACCATCGTCTACTTATTGGACGGCTACGAGGCGGTGCTTCGACATGATCCCTTCGAGGTATACGTGCGTGAAAAGGGAGGTAATCGCGTCATTTCTCTGAATTCTCATGGGTTATTTGACTTTGAACAGTTGAGAGTGAAGAGAGATGGTGAGGAGTGGGAAGAGAGGTTTAAAGGGCATACGGATAAGAGGCCCTACGGCCCGCAATCGATTAGTTTTGATGTGTCCTTTTATGGGGCTGATCATGTATATGGGATTCCTGAGCGTGCTACTAGCTTTGCTTTGAAGCCCACTAGAGGTCCTGGGATTGAGGACTCTGAACCCTATAGATTGTTTAACTTAGATGTATTTGAGTATATTCATGAATCCCCATTTGGGCTTTATGGTTCCATACCCTTGATGATTTCCCACGGGAAGTCGCGTGGGACTTCCGGGTTCTTTTGGTTGAATGCTGCTGAAATGCAGATTGATGTTCTCGGGTCTGGCTGGGATGCAGAGTCTGGCATTTCTCTCCCTTCATCGCAGAGTAGGATCGATACTCTTTGGATGAGTGAGGCAGGTATTGTCGATGCATTCTTTTTTGTTGGACCAGGGCCTAAGGATGTAGTCCGCCAGTATACAAGTGTGACTGGCACACCCGCAATGCCACAGTTGTTTGCTTTGGCCTATCACCAATGCAGGTGGAATTATAGGGATGAGGAGGATGTTGAGCAAGTTGATTCTAAGTTTGATGAGCACGACATTCCGTATGATGTTTTGTGGCTTGATATTGAGCACACAGATGGGAAGAGATATCTTACATGGGATAGGATGCTTTTCCCGCACCCAGAGGAGATGCAGAGGAAGTTAGCTGCTAAGGGTAGGCACATGGTTACGATTGTAGATCCTCATATTAAGCGGGATGACTCATACTTTTTGCACAAGGAGGCCACAGAAAAGCGGTATTATGTTAGGGATGCCACTGGAAAGGATTATGACGGGTGGTGCTGGTCTGGTTCATCATCATATTTGGATGTGTTGAGGCCAGAAGTTAGGTCCTGGTGGGCTGAAAAATTCTCTTTGGAGAATTATGTTGGTTCAACTCCTTCTCTGTACATCTGGAATGACATGAATGAACCTTCTGTCTTCAATGGTCCCGAGGTAAGTTATTTAATCCCCACTGTGCCATGCTTTTAGTTGAGATTAGATTTTTCAGGTATATATTTATGCAGTATTGTTTAAATAGAATGCTTTTTAATGTTGTTCAAGAAGAAACTTGAGCCAAGAAAATATCTTTTGTCTTCAAAATTTTATGAAAATTTTATTGAGGAAAGGTGCTTAGTACACTTTCAGTTACTTATCGTGTATTTTTTGAATGAGTGAAAACACTGAATCAATTCACTTCTAAATAGGTTGATTATAATATACATCTAATTATCATTTGTTTATATGAACATGTATCATGAATATATATATATATATATATATATATGATTAGTTTAAGAAGCCACCTACCTTATAATTATGTAGGGATTAGCTTTGGTTTCATAGAGACATTTTGTGTAAATTGTATCTTCTTGGACTCTCTGCATTCTTAATCTCTAGTTCTTACATAATGTATTCATTACACCACTAATATCTCTTGTGGAATTTTCATGGAATTTCTTTAACATTATTGTTCCTTTTGTTTTAAGTTTTTTTTTCCCCAACCATATTTCCGTATAGACTGGTCTAAAGGTATATATTAGAATAGCAAAACTTTTAATATTCATATTATTCTGACAGGTAAAAGTGGGTCTTTTGGCTTACAGGCCTCTACTGCTATAGTTATGGTAAACCAAATCCCTGTTATAACATAATTTGAGTGGGGAAATAATGTAATAATACTACTGCTTCTGACATGATATATTAGAATAATATTTGAGTGTAGGGAGTTGGTGAAATTATGTGAGGTTTGGATAGATGCAATGTAAGAATTGGCCATAGCATTATCTGAAAATCTGCAATGTAATATAAAAATAGCAAATAGGATGAAGGGGAGAGCTAGTTAGATAAAACAAAAATCAAAAGCAGCTATGATCACGAGCTTGGAGTTGGACTGAAAGGATCTGTAATGGTTGATAAATTGAAAACCATGTTCAAGTGTAAGGAGTGCAAAACTTCATAAGTGAAAATGCTTCAAACATGAAAATGAAAAAAAGAGAAGAATACTTGTAACCAAATGTATGAGTAAATTTAAGAAGTTTCTTATTTTGGAGTTTGAAAGTATGGAACCAACCTTTAGTTGGGAGTGAAAATGTATCAGAGGTAGTGCCTTTCTTGAAAATATTAGTGACTGAAAGAGCAAGATTATAAAATAAACTTTTCATTTGTTCTGTTTGGTTTTTTACTTGGAAGTTTGCATCTATATTTTTCTTGATTTTGTTTTGGTTATGGTCTCAATTCAATACAAGTGCTGAAAAAAATTTCTGATCAATTCTTAATTTTTATTTCTTGTATACCTCTCAGCATCTTTGCATCTCATGATTATTGACCATGACCAGGTTACAATGCCTAGAGATGCTTTACATCAAGAAGATGCAGAACATAGAGAGTTACATAATGCCTATGGCTACTACTTCCACATGGCTACAGCAGATGGGCTCGTGAAGCGAGGTGATGGAAAGGATAGACCTTTTGTGTTATCAAGAGCAGTATTTGCTGGAAGTCAAAGGCATGGAGCAATATGGACCGGAGATAATACAGCTGAGTGGGATCACCTGAGGGTTTCAGTTCCAATGATCTTGACTCTTGGTCTTACTGGGATATCATTCTCAGGTACAAAAAAGCAATTTTTCTTGTTGATACAAAATTTATTTTTCAACTGGCACTAATGGCCATAATGTTTCTACAGGTGCTGATGTTGGTGGGTTTTTTGGCAATCCAGAACCTGAGTTGTTAGTTCGTTGGTATCAGTTAGGTGCCTACTATCCATTTTTTAGAGGTCATGCCCATCATGACACCAAAAGGCGAGAACCATGGTTATTTGGGTAGGATTTCCTTTACTATAAGAGTATCGTTGCTATTTCAGGATGCAATTATGTATCTGCATTTTTAACTAATTCAGATTTCAAACTTCCCTTTTTCTTTTTCAAGAGAACGTTCTCAATAATTGGAAGAATATACTATTTTTGTTCATTGTTAGGTTTACTTTGCATATTACATCTTTAAAAATTTGCTTCTTTGTCTGTAATGTTGGAAATGGTTTCTGTTTGCATGCTTTGTTAGAGTGATATTCATTTTGTCTTTCTTGCAAGATTTACAAAGATTTCTTTTTAAAACCTGCCACTTCTTTAAGTGAGTGTCTCTCATTATGACATAAAGAAGTTTCCACTATGATTTCAACTTATACTGATTTGATGTTTCTAAAGAAAAATCAAATGTAATATTTGTAGTACTTTTGGTAGATAAGTATTCTAAAATGATTAAGTGCCTTTAAATGAAGAGTAGTACTGTGATGCCGATGCAGTATGATGTGATGATGCTACAAGAGGGGTATTAAACAACATGGGTTAAGTTTTGTGGGCTTTGGGGTAGAGATGATTATCATCATGGGCTATCATCTAACTGCTTGGTTGTGCCCCTTTCAAAATCACAACCTTGTTATTCCAGTTCAGTGAAAAAATGAAGAAAAAAAAAAACTTATTATTGTATGATAAAATTTGAGAAAATGTGAAATATTGATGGTACTCATTGTTACCATATTTAGCATTAAAATGAATAAGTGGTTTAAGTATTTCATGAATAGACTTCTTATGATTACTTTAATTATCGGTCTTTACCTTGATCACAGGGATAGAAATACTGAACGTATTAGAGAGGCCATACACATTCGTTACATGTTGCTTCCATATTTCTACACGTTATTCAGAGAGGCAAACACAAGTGGTGTTCCAGTTGTTCGTCCATTGTGGATGGAGTTTCCTTCTGAGGAAGCTACTTTCAGCAATGATGAGGCTTTCATGATTGGAAGTAGTCTTCTGGTGCAAGGAATTTATACAGAGGTATTACAACATCCTGATATCTTAATCATTTATTTGGCTTTCATCTCAACTCCCTGTTTTCGTGTTATCCGTTTTTTTTATACTGTTGTGTCATGCTGTTTTTTTTATTCCATTGTACAAGCATGCAAGACATGCTTCAGTTTATTTGCCTGGGAAAGAATCCTGGTATGAAGTGAAAACTGGAGTTGCATACAAGGGAGGCAGGACCCATAAGTTGGACGTTAATGAAGAGAGCGTTCCTGCCTTCCAAAGGGCTGGAACCATCATACCGAGGAAAGACCGCTTTCGTCGAAGTTCCACACAGATGGTGAATGATCCATACACTCTGGTATGCCTTTGACTTTAAAGTTTAGGAATAACATATATTATAACTTATGTACATACATATAAAA